ATATTAGATAAGTAAATGACATAATTTTAAATGTTATGTATGTAAAAATCATTTTACCATTTTACTTACACTTATACTTAACCCACCTGAGGAATCTTCGCCTCATCATCACATCAATTCAAATAGGGCAATTGCCTCCTCAGTCCTCACATCCACCACACGTATACGATTCCTATGTTGAGCCTCCTGTCCAACTAAATAGATCCGAAAATCAAAACCGTCCGTTCAAATCTAGCGCCTTCGTCAATGTCAATGCACGATTTCAATTAGGTTATATTCTGTCCTTACAACAGTGATGTGATAGGATGGAGATCACCCTTCCTAGCCGAAGCGGCCCGCAATAATTTGAATCCACGGGCTTCCGCTCTTCTCTGATTCTCTCTTGAACATTTTTCTTATTTTGTCTCTCTCTACGCAGCAATGGAGAAACCTTCAAGCCCTGCAGCGGCTGAGTTCGATCCGGAGGCCGAGTTCATACTATCAAAGCGTAAGACAGGAAACGAATGGGAGCTTTACAAGGAGAATGTAAAGCCTCTTAAGCGTGGCCGCAAAGTCGAAATCCTCAACGACGCCCTAAAATCACAAGCCAACAACGCCGCAAGAAAGTCTCTTCTCCAGACTCGAAGGTCTTGTACTTGGATTTATGTCTTTGAGATCTTCGTTTAGGTTGCTAAATGCTAACTCACTTTATTGTTTGCGTTTCTTGAACCAGAAAGATGATCGATGCGATCGATGAGTATAAGGGGGATGATCCTCTTCAGCCCTGGATCGAGTGAGTTAGTTCACTTTCACTTCATTTTATTTTTGTCTTTCTCTCACTTTGGGTATAGTAAAATGCGGGATTCTTTTCTTTTGGCTCGGTTCCAGAAAGATGATCGATGCGATCGATGAGTATAAGGGGGATGATCCTCTTCAGCCCTGGATCGAGTGAGTTACTTCACTTTCACTTCATTTTATCTTTGTCTTTCTCTCACTTTGGGTATAGTAAAATGCGGGATTATTTTCTTTTGGCTCGGTTAGGTAAATCTTGCTGAAATCTATATTCTAATACCTTTCGTTGTTATCAAATATATGTATTTTCTTTATTAAATGGCCGTTTGGTATCCTGTTTTAGGCAGGATTTAAGTAAGATTTAGCTTATATCCTGTCAAACAGAATTTTTGATAAGTAATAACTCTTCTTACTTGCATCTAAACTTCAATAATTTAACTTGGATTATAGATGAATAATTATCGGGACTCCTAAGATTTACTAACTTTCGGATTTAATTCCTTTACTAAATTCAGATATAGTAAATTCTACTTACTACCAAACAATCTTAAGAATTGGTGGTCACTCAAAGTTGATTGATTTAGCTTCATTGTCTTAGAAGAATTCGTTCTGAGATTTTCCTCATCTGTGTCGTGAAGCTGCATCAAATGGGTTCAAGAATCATTCCCAACAGGAGGGGACTGTTCGGGGTTGGTTGTGATTTATGAACAATGTGTTCGCAACTTTTGGCATGATGAGCGCTACAAGGATGACCAGCGTTATCTTAAAGTTTGGCTAGAATATGTATGCTTTATTTGAAAATTTTTAATCAAGATCACTACCTCTATGTTCAGTTTTACTGAAGCGCATCTTTTCCTTAGGTGTCTTCTGATAATTTTTATTTTGGTTCAGGCAGAGAATTGTGTTGATGCTGAGGTAATCTTCCAGTTCCTTCAGCCTAATCAAATTGGTCAAAGCTATTCTGCATTCTATGCAGCATATGCACTTCACATGGAATTCAAGAAAAAATTACAAGCAGCTGATGAAATTTTTAATCTTGGTATTGCTAGGTAATGTTCCTTTGTAATGCTCATCTGTATCATAAAATTCATTGTTGCTTATATATTGCTGCCTGCTAAAATTCTATTTGGCTAGTCACTCAAAGTTGAAAATATCAACAAGCTCTCAGTCGTTTTGTTAATTATGTTGACGTTGCAAGAACGTTGTGGATGGATTGAAGGAGTTGTTTCTTTTAGATAGAATGCTTTGGAGATGATGTATCTACTTTAGGAATAGTGGTTCAGCACGTGCTTATTGCATGAAAATAACTATAACTGAAATAGTACAGCATGCAGTTAGATCTTTAATTTTTTAACTAGAAAGCTACTTTAAGAAGCAGTAAGAGTTATCCCAAACGAAGCCTTAGTTCATTATCCATGCCCAGTTGCTCCTATTCATTGAATGTTTCAAAGAAGTTCACGTAAGATTTTCTTGAATTAGCCTCACACGGCATGAATGGGAAAATGCACATACAGGCTACCTACTTCTAAATCCAACAAGGATAAAAAGTTACGGAAATGGGACATATTCCCACCCATTAAATTCAAGGAAGACAGTCTGTTATTTATGTAGAGATCATATAATTCCGATGAAAGAAGAAAAATCTTATGCTATTTAATGGTGCTTGAACCATCTGCAAGTTCTATATATTGGTCTATAAACTTTGTTTTCATGTTTATTTGCGTTGTATGGTGCTTTACTTTTTCTTGGCTTTCACATCGTAGGAAGGCAAAACCACTAGTGAAGTTAGAAGTTGAATACAGGAAGTTTCTTGGAAGGTCGATGGCGAGAAAGAAGACAGCAGAAGTATGTAGTCTTCTGTCAACTATTTTTGTTATTTTACTCATTATCCTTGAATGGACTTTGGACTTTCATTTATGCATTTTGAACGTTACAATTTAGGATGATTTGATGGATAATCACTTGCATGTTCGATCTTTTGGAACAATTTTGGCTGATGGCGGAGCTGGTATGTTTTCATGGTACATTTAAGTTATCTATCAGTTCATCTAGATTTTCATTGTACCTTCTGATACTTCGATTGCTTTAGGTAGATTACCTGTAGAGAATGCTGAAATTAACAGAAAGAGTAGGAAGCCACTCGAAAGGTAATGTTGTGCAGTGTACATCTATGATGATGTTTTAATCTTTTCAAGGGAATGAGTATTACCCTTATAAAATAAGTTTGTCGAAGTACATTTATGGCATAACTTTTTGGATAGCATTTCATCTCATTAACCGACCCAATGTAGTTGGGATAAGGGTAATGAGGATAATAATTGATCTCAATAATGAAAATTCAAACTTTAAATTCAATCTTTCAAGTTTGACAATTCATTAGATGCTTTTTAAGTTCTAAGGTTGTAATCATTCTCATTCGGCTTGTAAAAAGTTGTTCTAACTTGCTTGGTTTTGTGTTTAGCAGGATTGATAATAGTAAATCCATATCAATCTATACTGATGAAAGTACAGGAGCAAGTCATCTATGCAGGAAATCATCTACAAATGATCCATCTTGGGAATATCTTGGAAGCAGATCCAGTCGAAACAAGGAAAATATTTCAGTACCAATGAAGTGGACATCATATAAGGTTGTCATTTGCTTCAAAGACATTTCAATCATGATAATAGATTATATTGTGCATAATATTGGTTATAACTAAATTGCAACGGTTCTTCATGTTAGGTTCCACAAAAGATGGGAGCCAGGACTGAGCCAACAACATTAAGTACTCGCATTGAGGTTTTTGTTGATAATGATTCCAAGTATGTTAGTTTTTATTTTTCAATCTTGGCAAGCAATTTATAAACAAAAGTTTATGTCCGATATGCTTTTAGTCCTTGCTTAGATGATTTAAAAGAGGTACCGTATGTTATTAAATTTGTATTAACTATTATACTTATTTAATATTGATGAGTTGAATTGCTTAGAAGCTAAAGGAACTAAGTGTAGCGATGGAGTAGTTAATTATGGGATTTATTATTTGCTCTAAAATCATTTAAAAAATGATATACAACGTAGTAGATTTTAGATTTATTTACCCTTCCTGCATTTTAATACTCATTGATCCTCTACAGTTTTATTTAACATAGAAACAAATGTAAAGAAAGATGTCCGTATGACCTGAACTGTACAGTCCAAAGGTAAGGAAAGGTCAATTTTCTATCCATCCAAATCAGTTCTTGCTAAGATTTGAGTGTGTTATGAAATTGATATAGCGTGAATGAATCTCTCTCTCTCTCTCTGTCCCCTATTCATACCCTTGTAACTAACACAAAAAAAAAAAAAAGTAGCTTAAACTTTTTTCCATGTTATTGATAATGATTAAGGAATCTTATGGCAGAAAAGCCAAAAATAGAAAAACCCAGATAGTTTTACCTTTTCTATATTCCACCCAATACTCATGACTGCACTCTAGCATGTGAGAACCTAATTGTCATGGAGCTATCGAAAATGAGTTCACTCTCACATATTTTTTTAATATTAGTTCTTCATTAGTTCTTTGGAATTTAGCTTTCCTAATTGTCCAGGAGGACCAGGACTTTATACCCTCCACCTTTAAAGTGTTATTTTAAGTTTTTTGCCTATCAACATATCTTCTTATACATTTGTATCTTGCAGATTGGAACCTCCAAAGATTTCTAAATGCGACACACCTACCACTTTACGACTTCAAAAAGCAGATAACATGAACCTCAAGAAGTAAGCAATATCATGGAGCTATCGAAAATTTATTTACTTTAATATCAAGCTTTGGATGGGTAGTAAAAAAATGTACAAATAAGCTTAGTAGATCTTAAAACTATCCTTAGATATAAAGTTTTAAAAAATAACTTTTGTGATAATCTTGCATTCTTATTAAAAGGTCTTAATATTCCAAATGATCCAATTTGACGTGTAATATGTTGAGGAAAAATAGTAGAGATGATTCTAGTTTTAAAGGGGAGTTTAAAGGGGCTTGGGAATTCTAAAATGCCAATTATTGTGGTGCCAAGACTAAGTAAAGTTGACGAAGGATTTATTTCCCCATAACTTAAAAATAAGTTTTAACTTTTAATATTATCACAATGGATATTAACAAAATAGTAACTATGTTATAAAGAATATTTTACTAAAAAAATTATGTTTTTTTAATAATGATATGTACTAGAAAGCTGTTTTAAGAAGTAGTAAGAAAGTCATTCCAAACAAAACCTAAGTTGAAAAGGAATCAATGTATATGTTAAAAAATGTAAACTAGTTTTAACTAAATTTTTAATCCACAATTATTCTTCAAATTTTAAAGTAATTATTTTTTTATAAATATACGCATTTTTAACTTCCTTTTCTGAATATATGTCCACAATTTGTTTAAACAAGAAGAAAGCAAGGGATATTTTATACAAAGCATTTCTTTCTTTCCTTGTTTTACTTGTTCTAAAACTTACGTTTTAACAAAATATAAAGTTGCTAGCTTAAAGTGTAGGACTTTCAACGTTTTTTTCCTTGATGAACTGGGCGTTTGTTGCCATTGTTGGTATAGGTAAGGTGTTAATCGCCATTTTATGCGAGCTGTTTAGTATTTATAAGAAAAACATGTAAGACAAGCTGATGAAAATCAATCTAGGTGGGTTAAGAAGGATAATTTATGGTAAAAAATGGATTGATAAAATTAATGTGAAAATTTAGAAAATGAAATGTTACACTAAATATAGTATGATAGAATCTGTACAAACATATTTACACTAAATAATTCCAAAACAAGGATGTTGGTTATTACAATCAAAGTGTGTTAATATGCCCAGGTTTAGAAAATTCAAGTAAAAAATTGTATGTAGTAACGGATTAAAAGATTAAGGAAAGAGTAAGTTGGTTGCCAGATAGAAAAGAAGAAGAGGGCATTTACTTTTCATAACTTTGTGTTTTATGCAGAACTTCAGTTATGTTTTCAAATTTGCTAATGCCATTAAACTTTAAATTTGAGCAGGGAAACAGAGTTGTTGAAAGAGAACCCATTGCGAAATTTTCCTCTGAGTACTCTCAGATAAGTGGCTCATGTTTTCACCACTGGTGATTTTTGCGACCTGGTTGTGATGTTCCATCGAAATCGATCTACTAAACTTTCCTCGTCGCTGAAAGTTTGTTTTTTCAACGTTGCTGGGCTTGAATTTCTTCCTTGTTTTTCTAAAGTTCACGCTTTCTTCATATTTTCCTACTGCAAATGAAATTAATCCTTCCTTGACTGTCCATTATTTATTTGTTTGCTATTATATCAAGCTTATAACAATGGTTAATGGGAGGATTAGGAAAGCAAATTGCACAGAGCAGAAATATATATATCTTTTGGGAAGTAGGATATAAAGTGGTTTGCCTTATGAAGTTGATATTTCATGTAGTATTCAATGTGGAATGGGAGAAGATTGGTTAAGTTAGGATGATGCTGCAAATGCTCAATTTGATGTCTAGTATATAGTATATTTTTGTTAGAAATCACTTTCTTTTCCATCACATGTTTTAGTAAGAAAGTACATGTTGAAATATATTTTCTCAACATGGAGTAGGGTTGTAAACGAGTTGAGTCGAGTCGAGTTTAGGCCTTATCGAGCTTGGCTCGTTAGTCTGAAAGCGAGTTCGACAGGAGACTGTAAACAAGCTCGAGCTCAAGCCGGCTCGCGAGCCATGGGTGGGATTTTTAAAATTTAGGCATGATTTTTAAAACTTTAGTGGGATTTTTAAAACTTAAGTGGGTTTTTAAAACTTAGGTGGGAGTGACCTCTCGTCTTTGCTTCCGATCAAAAAGTTGTAACTTCCCATCTGACTCAAAGGGAACGTAGTCCAAGGAGTGAAGTCGAGCAACAACGCACAAAATGGAGAAAGTTACCTTTACAACGAGTGAACTCTTGTTGTTGCTTCCGATCAAAAAGTTGTTACTTCCTATCCAAACAGAAGGGAACGTCGTCCAAGGTGCAAAGTCTAACAATAACGCATGAAACAGAGAAAGTTACATTCACAGCGAGCGAACTCCTGTCGTTTCTTCCAATCAAAATGTTGTAACTTTCTATCCGACCGAAAGAGAACTTCGTCCAAGGAGCGAAGTCGAACAACAACGCCAAAATGGAGAAAGTTACCTTCACAGCGAGCAAACTCCCATCGTTGCTTCCGATCAAAATGTTGTAACTTCCGATCCGACTGGAAGGGAACGTCGTCCAAGGAGTGAAGAAGAATAGCAACTAAGGAGCTGGCGACTCTTGCAATCGTTACAGCACTTTCTGGGTCGGATTCGGATCAACTTGAACCCGATGCGGGTCCGGTTGAATAGTAAAGGGTCAATTTCGGATTGGATTCGAACCCGACCTATGACCTGAATTCGTAAGCCCTACCCGCATCCATAGGCCAACACTGACCATCCTTTACACAATATTTTTACGCTTTACATTACATTCAAGTTACTTCAAACCAAAAGAGTAAATCATGCATTTATTTTAAACTCATCCAAACAACTTCAAAATATTCCTTTTACATCACATTTCTTTTGCATTTTATTCATTTTTTCAGGCAACCAAACCACCTTAGTGGTTTTCGAATACACCGTAAATACATTGTCGAATGAGTTCCAAGTACTTTGCTTTGTTATTGTACATTTACTTTAAATCGGGAAAAAAATGCTAAAATGTTGCTTATTTATTTTATAGTTCCCTCTAAATAGCGGAAACTAAACAACCCCTAAGACTTGCTGGCTAAAATTTCAGAAGCTTCACTAAGATCTTGTTTAATTGGAATGATTATGAAAGGCAAATAACTAAAAAAAGATAGAGCCACCGCTGAAAAAGAGCAACTTATCTTGGAAAAATTATTAGGTGCAGAGTGCGCACTGTCCCCATAAACACTGGGTACATAGCTGTACCCAGCGGTACCGAGTGTAGGTACTGATAGGTACCCAATGCTTATGCGGATGGTTCTCTCCATCCGCACTCCGCACCTAATAATCTCTCCTTATTTGGGTCTGCCATGAGAGGGACCTGTGTACTACATTTGGAAAAAAAAAAAAATTTTCAGCCTCCATTTTTTTAGTTTGTCATATGTATTTTTTGGATTTTGACAAATTAAGATGTTGGTGCATGAAAATGATTATTGGAACACAGATTTTAAATTTACATTTTTTTTTTTTCAGATTTATGAGAGTGAATGTTTAAGCATATATGCCATGAGTAAATGTAAATTTTTAATTTGTTTTTAAATATTTGAGTAAAAATTTCACAAAATCAATTTTATACTATTGACTTTTGAAAACATGTATTACATATATCTGATTTGGCTCACTATTTTTTTTTTTAACAAATTTTTGAGAAGTGTTATTCTTCATTCTCTAATTTTTATCTTCACATTTGATTGCTCAGCCTCGTGAAATTATTTTGTGCGAATATGGATGCCTTTTGGAGGCGAATCATAACTCGTCGTGTCACCTGTTAGCTATGTACCACGGTTGTGTATTGAGTAACATGATACGTTCTGATTCGCTTCGGATGATCCGGTGTCGGCATAAACTAATTTCTCCCCGGCGTCTATGTTGATGGCCACTAACCATTACATCAACATTATTAAAATATCTCTTTCTCCTCTACAATAATTTAATTTTCAGATATACAAAATTTGATAATATGTGATTTTTTTTTTCATAATATGATTTATGATTTGCTATAATTAAGTGCATGCCAACGTGAGATATTTTGAATTAAGCAAATTTAAATCTAACAATAAATTTAAATTTTTTATCGATACATATTAAAAAATATTAATACTATTATCCTCAGTGTTAAAAATGTCCAGTTATCTATTTTATTGATAATCTCCTCAAAATTTTCTACTTTGAATTGGTAATTCTGTTCCATTTTTTAATTGGGCATGTCTTTAATTTGTCAAACGAGATAATACCAACTAAAAAAATTAGTGAATGCAGAAAAAATTGTGTCATTGCAATTAGGACTAATGTATTAGGAGCATATGTCACTATTTCATTCACGTAAGTTTTTTAGTTTGATTATATAGAGATATTTACTTGTTATACCTTAAATCTGGAAGTTTGTACGCCCTCACGATATGGGACGTTATGGAGTTAATTAGAGCTCTTGAAACAAGTTTTCAAAAGTAAAAATCTAGAAAAAAATATTTTGAACTCGTAAGAAAAAAAAAATGTTGCATCCGATGGAGAAATATAAAGTTTAATGTATTAGTTTTGTACGAAGATCTATCATACAATCAGATAAAAGAGAGGGTGTAATGTTCATAAGTGACACTAGAGTTTTTACATGAAAACCCGTAAAAAGTGGGAAAAATTATGGAGCATGACCCAGTTTGATTGAATTCGCTAGTGTTTGCAGTTAATTACAAATGAGGCCTTTCTTTGATGGAAGGCCTTGGTTTGATATAACAAATACACTTCCTATAAATTGCATTACAAGGTGGGAAGTAGAAGAATCAGTATTGACATGCTTGTTTGGTCGGGAAGACAATAGTCGGTAGACAATGAAGGTCGGAAAGATTGTTATTAGACGACAAAGGTCGGAAGGCGACAAAGACCGAAAAGATCGTTGTTTGGAGAAGAATGTCGAAAGGATCATAGTCGGCAGGTTATATTGGTTAGAAAAGGTTGTTGTCTTGCGACGATGGTCGGAAGAACTATAGACGGTGGGCGATAGTTATCAGAAAGATTTTTGTCTGGCGATAGAGGTCGGAAGGACCATAGTCTGACGACGGAGGTTAGAAGTACCATAATCAGTGGATGATAATGATTAGAAAGACCGTTGTCTGGTGACAGAGGTCAGAAGGACCATAGTCGGCAGCCGTATGGAAGTCCGACATCAGTCGGTGGCTGGGTGAAAGTACGACATCAGTCGATGGCTAGACAGAAGTTTGACATCAGTTGGTGGCCGAGAGTATGTCCAACAATAATTGGAAGCCAGGTGGAAGTGTAATGTCAATTAGTGGCTGGACAGAAGTTCGGCGTAATTTGGTGATCGGGCGTAATTCCGACGAGAGTTGTGGGTCGAGCGGAGGTCTGGCAAAAGTCCGACGATTGTCGGTAGCCGGGTGGAATTCTAACGGAGGTTGAGGAGGAGTCTGGCGGCAATAGAACTCCAGTTTGTCTTCCTTCCTTCTTTTCCTTATCTTCATTATTTTCTTGATTGGGTCCCTCCTCCCTTCCTTGAGGAATGTGTGGTTTCTTTATGATTTTCTTAGAGTGATATGACCAGTAAATAAGAGGGAGATTAAGGGTATGTTGGGAGTGGTTTGAATAGACGACCGATGTTGATTCCTTTGATCGTGGACCATTTACCAGACATTTGAATGACTTAATGATATCAAAATTCAACGAAATTGGGCTCATTGGATTCATTTCATCAAGCCACTCGATTCAACTATAAACATGTTATGTTTGGAAACCGTTTGGTAATCTGAATTATGGGTTGAGCCTTTCAAAGATGATTTGAGTCTTTATTTGGACCCATTTGGGCTCATATTGAATCAAGTATGGTGTCGTTGAGTTCTTCTTTTTGAGACGTTCAGTTCGACTATAAGTTTGCTAAAATTGGAGTTCATACGATTCTGAAATTAATTTAAAAAATTTTGAATTCAATATTTTTTCGAAGATATATAATGAATAATATGTGTGAATAAATGATAGTAAATGATATTTTCTTTTTGCGGTAGTGGAGTTCATACTAAGGGTACAATAAAGAAACATAAACAATTAATGAAAAAAATAAAATAAATTAGAAGCTTTAACTACTCAAGCAGAACTTCCTTAACTCCAAAGAACTGCAACTAGTGATACTATATAAGTTTGAAAATATTGAGTGAAATCCTGCTATTGAAAAATATGCTCTTTTGATGGTCTATAATTATGAAGTTTATAATGTATTAGCTTGACTGATACCCATCAAATAATTTCAATCTATTAAAACATAAATAACACGTCATTAGTACATCTACTTGAACAATAAAATGCATTATTTAGTATAAAATTGCAAGTAAATCAAAGGTTAAACTATTATTATAAAGTGGAAGTGTGAGATATTTTTTAGATAATTTACAATATTATTATTTTTATGATCATTTCTATATAAATTATAAACAATATATTTTTATTAATATTTATATATAGGGGAGTTAAAATGAGTGGTATAAATGATTTAAAATGACTAATTTAGGTGGTATATTAGTAAATAAATTAGTTTAGGTGTTAAATTTGTATTTTAAATAGTTCTAGGTGTTATGTATGTAAAAATCCCATATATATATTGCGCGCCTTCTCGTCCACAAGTCTTCAGAAACAATCCATTTACCCGGCCAAATGTGCTCCGTCACATCTCCTCGAGAGTTGGAGCCTCACTGCGATGTGAAGCAAACGAACAACGAGAGGAAGATATCTCAATCTTCCTCAAGACCCTAACCCTAGGATCCAATGTCCTCCTCATGTTCCGACCATCTAGGGCTAAGCCAGTGTCGGAGAGCCGGGATGCCTCCACCCCTCGGCAGCCGGGGCTCTCGACTTCTCCTTGTTCCCGCTTCTCTTCGCAATTCCGTCCGTTTCCGATGCATCATCGACGCGATGGCTCCGAGGCTGGCCGTATCGTCTTCGCTCGGTGCTATTACCGGAGCCAGCAACGTGATAGCAGCTGCGGCGGCCGTAGCCGGTAGCACTGGGGCGTCGCACGCGGGAGTAACGTCGGCGCTGGCCCATGTTGCGGTGACGGCGGTCGCAATTGCTTCGGGTGCTTGTCTCTCAACCAAGGTCGATTTTCTATGGCCTAGGTTGGACGATCAGCCAGGTATTGGATTCTGTGTCTGGTCTTTGAATCTTCTTTCTATCTGCTTGCTGGACGTGGTCGCCATAATCTAATATCGTCCTGTTACGGGAATCTCTTTTGAATGCTTGCTGAGCTAATTATTCTATCGGGTTTGAATGGTCGCTAGCGGGCCATAAAACCGGATGGCACATTGATTTATTTTTTTCGTGTATACTGAAATGCTGCTTCCATTAGTCATGGAAAGAAATGTCTTATGCTTGCTCTAATATCAGCCTGACGAGCTTCTTAAATGATGATACCCATTATAGGGTTTTTATTGAATTAAACCTCTTGAGTAGAATTAGGTTAAACTTTGTTTTTTATTCATGGGACCTCTATAATCTTTTTTGATCAAACAATATAGCAATCATTTTCTCTAAAGTGGATTTGTAAGTTCCGAATAGAACCAAAGCTATGAGCGATCTTCCTTAAGTATATATGAGAATTGGTTTTTGCTGATAACTGTCTGAACCATGGTATTGAAGAATCATTTTGAGAAAAGACTGTTGCATCTTATCTTCAGAAATAGAATAGTTGGAAAATGTTGTAGGATCAAAAGAGGAATAGTTGTTGAGAGATTTCATAGGTCAGAGGAGAAGAGTAATAATAAGAGTGTTGAGACAATCGATGACTAGGGTTAGGAGGAATTTAATATCTCAAATTATTTATGAATAGATGTTTTCTTCCATGTATGCCTAAGCATCCTTTTACAAAATAGGCAATATAGACGTTCGAGTCTATCATCGGCATTATACTTGAGACATCACAATCATTCAACAACGTTAACAATAATTTTATTTTCCATTACTATTCATGCTAAATAATTTCGTGCAACTATTCACGCGAATGTTAATTTGAATTGTAGTTGCTGTTCTTGGTGAACATAACCACATGAGGATGTATTTGACGGCTTTAAGGTATGTTGGGATAGGGAGTTTCTTTTTATGCCATAGATGAAAGTTTATTTTTTTCAAAGTTGGTGCCAATGGTCGATGCATCCTAAAGGCATGATGATTCTATGAAATATCACATTTCCTAATTTTTTCACTTGTCATCGTCCTTTTTCCCCTTTCTCTTAATCTATTGATGCCTTTTCTTTTACATTGTAGATGTACTTATGAATGTTTTCAAATCTCAAAACATGCAAGAATTATCATTCTATAGTGTTTCTATTTATCATAATTAACAAGGATTTTTTTTTTTGTTGGAATCAAATTATACCTTGGTATATCTTAATTTCATTATTGTTTTTTTTTTTGGTGATAAAAGCTGAATATTATATTTTATAGTCAACGGTTCAATTTGTGGTTTATATTAATCATTTATTTGATAATATAACCCCTAATATCATTAAACCTTGACCCAAATCTCATATTTTGTTATCAAAACTAGGGATTCTTAGGTCATTCACTTGTGTTTATATCATTGCACCATGAAAGACAACAAATATTCAACCACAGTGAAGTTTATTTAGGTCTCTTATTCAAACCTTTAGATCATCCTGCATCATATTGGTATCAGAGTCACATTTAGGCATAACCACTCAACGAAGTACTATGTATTGGGGTAGGATGGCCGAACGCTAGAGGGATGATCTTCTTCAGGCCTTGGTTGAGCATTAAAATTGATGTAATGAGGGAATCACGGTCTTTATGGATGGCTTGATCATCTAAATGGTGCGAGTGAGAATTAATGGGGTTTCTAGTAGTGCTATTGATGACCATAACACTTTGCATCACCCACCAACTCATACTCCATATCACATTGGTGACGGCGATCACCCTTTATGATGATCCACTACACACTCATGCTTATTCTATTGCAGTTCCACATTTCACTATTTTTGATGTCTCACCTCGAGTGACCATAAGTTGAGATGATCATGTGTATGGCCTTAAGTTATGATGATGTATGGCTTGGGCTAATCTTTGATTTCCTTCACCTTTGGAGTATTAATCTTGATTTCTCAATTGCCTATATTTCAAATCCATGCTATAGGAGTGCTTGTAGGAGAATATCTAATTTTTTGGTTGATAGGCATGATGCTTAGGCTTCAAATTTTCAAAATAAAGAATTTTGGCTTGGAAGTGTCATAATATTTTTAAGCAACCCGATTTTTGGCAATGCCATTTTTTATTATGCTTTACCAAAAATGTAGCTTGATAGCCTTATGTAGGATGCCAAATTAGGGCATGTGGGTGGTGGAAACTGTTGCAAGTATGAGATGTTGTGGTGGGAGTTCATGGTATTGTTGCTGATACCGGGAAGAGATAGGCAAGTGAACATGATTGAGAGTGAAGTGTTATGAATTGAGCAAATACATGGTCATGTGAGAGAGATGAGGTTATGATGGTGTGGCAAGCACATGAAGGAGAACTATCTGATATATGGGTTTTGCAAGGATGGGATTACTTACAATAATGCAATTTTCGAAGGCATCTATGAAGATTCATTTTGGGAAGTGGCACTTAGGCTTCAATACTAAATGTTGGAAAAAATTAATAAATAGTAAGAAAGAACGAGTGTTGTAGGGGGGTAAGAGGAAGAACAAGAAGAGGAGGAAGATATCCAATAGCTCGGGTTAGAAGGAATTTAATTTCTCATATCATTTTTCAATAACTTTTTTATTCCATGCAACACTGAAGCATCTTTTAATTCAGTCATAATGATCCTGAATCAGTTAGCCTCCCTATAACTGTGGCGGAGGCATGAATATTGATAAGTTGTTTGAACTTGAAGAGCTAGAAAAGGGTGTCTAGTTCCACTTGAATATGACATGCATTCATTTTGACATAGAGTTTTAAGCTATTGAAAAGAGCTTCCAACTCATCATTAAGGACAATCATCTGTTGTAGGTAGTAGAATAAGCCAACAATGAAGTGGTTAGTGCAGTTCTGAATCAATCCACCAAACTTTAATTACCAAATGAATAGAGTTAAATTTAATGGAACATGGGGATGGGGGTATCCATTTTTGAATGGGATCAGATTCCTTGAAGGTTTCTTTTGAACTGTGGGGAGTTAAAAAGTAACAACTTTAAGCATTCTAGATCTCCCAATAGCAATACAGAAAAGCAAAAAAAAAAAAAAAGAGACTTTTTAGAAATTTAGAGTTTGTGGGGTTCCACCAAATAGTAGAGGCAGAATAACAATGCTTATATTTGGATTTTTAGAGAATTCCTTTAGATTGCTCCATGCCATTGATGGGGAAATGGTTGAGCTTTTTCAAGGCCACACTTTGGAAGTTTGTAGGTCTCTTCTATCTTCTCCTTTGCAAATTTGCTAATTGTTTGCTTATTCTATGCGTTTAGACTTGTTATTTTAAGTGTATGCTTTGATGATGTTGAACTGGAGGGATAGTTTTTATTGAGCTGGATATAGATCCAATGCAAAGGATCCTTCGCTATAGCTTCCTTAGAAGCTTCAATGGTGCCTATAATTAGGGGCTGTTAAACCATGGGAAATAGTGATTATGCTTCATTGTTCTCATTAGAATTTCACCTACTTTTTTTACTAGCTCTCTACGTTCATATTTGTGCTGCTACTCTGGCCTGAGTTTCAAGAAGTCTTAGTAGAACCTGAGTAGGGTTCTTCCCTACTCGTCATTTTGTAAGTTGCTGAAGAAGAATGCCACCTTACTACATATTTTCATAAATGTGCCCCATTATACTTGATCTATTTCGTGGCTTTCTTTCTTTTTCTTGTTTTATACATTGAAATTTACTTTTTTACCATTGTTTTAGTTTGTTTTCTTTATCCTATTCTATAGGAATTTCAAAACTAGGAATCTATGAAAATAATCGGGCTTCAATGAGCACAGTCTTATTTGTTAGTTATTTTGAAGTTGGGATGTTTCTGTTTGCTTATTACACTGTGCTTTACTATTTTTCCATTGTTCTCCCTTTTTTTTTAATTTTTATTCTGGTCTAGAGTAATCCCATGGCCTTGACTCAACGAGTCTTGTTGGGCTCCAAAATTATGCACTTAATCCTTTTTTTTTTCCACGTTGAATGTGAGATGTTCCTGTTTGATTTGATGTGTTCATTTCATACTATTTCTAAGATAGTATGTCTTCTCTGCATTGGGACAACATTCCGTTTATTTTTCGTCATTGTGCAGCTTAGTGTCTTCACCTTTTCTGATAGCTTTTTTTGGTTTGATAAGAATACCCTCTTGAAACCTTTAAAAAATACTTGCATTAAATGAATAGTACCAGATGGAATCCCTTTTCTCCTTCCTATCAAATGAAATTAACTGTAAGGTACAATATTTTGTTAGCCTAATTAGTTTGACGTAATTTCTGACAAGACGTTGTTTTTCAACAACCTGTGCTCGTAATCATTTTGTTTTTACAAACATTCTTTTGAAATACACTTAATTTGAAAGCCTCATGAGGGATCTTTTCTCTTTTTCTTTTAATTATTGTAGATTTTTGCACATTACAATTATTTGATCCAGTTTTTTCACGTGGCATATGCTGATATTGTCTGTAGGAAATTTATAATACTTTTCTAAAGCTTACAACATATTTTCTTGTTCAGATTCTCTTATCATTGATGGGGTAGATTTAACTGGATACCCAATTTTTAAAGATGCGGAGGTAAATTGGTTTATTTGCTGCATTAGTTACTTTCAGCTGTTATTAGTTTCCTGTGCATAAGATTCTCTTCGATGGCAGGTGCAAAAGGCTGTTTCATTTGCAAGAATAGCTCATTATGGCCAGTTTAGGAAGACTGGAGAACCTTATGTTACTCACTGTATCCATACGGGAAGAATTTTAGCTGCTCTTGTTCCAGCAACTGGAAAAAGGGTATGCTCTTCTCCCTTGGTTTTGATTAAATGGTTTTAAGTTTATGTAATCTAACTAAACACTCTGAGCTCTTCCGTTCTTTTCAGGTAGAAATTTTTATCCTTAACTTTCATTTTATTGTCCTGTAAATTCTCTATGTTGATAATCTAAAGCAATGTACTTGAGATGGTTCAGAATTCTTATTTTGAGCAAATTTTCAGAAATTTGTCTTTCTACTCCTTATACAGGCTGTAAACAGTGTTGATAGTGAGATTCTTCTTGACGCAATAGAATAATTGTCAAACTACTCCATATTAAGTTGACAACATTCTTCTTTATGCAGGCTGTGAACACGGTTGTTGCTGGGATCCTTCATGATGTGATAGATGACACAATTGCAAATCTCAGTAGCATAGAAAATGAGTTTGGTGAGGATGTTGCTCGTTTAGTTGCAGGAGTCTCAAAACTAAGCTACATCAATCAGGTAAAAGTGGAATCATCTTTTTTTGAGAGGAAAGCTGCCATTTTAAATGAGTTTGCACAAGTCCCTTCACTAATTAAAATCGCCAGTGAGAAGGAAAAAATAAGGAAATTTACCATTGCTTTCTACTCTGGTATGTTGAGATGGATCAATTAAACATGTAGAAGAATAAGATTGCTGAAGATATCTAGAAAGCCTTAGGATCATTGTTGAGTATTTCACGTCAATGAAGGATGCATATGAAATGTTATATAATTTTAGGAGCCCATATATATGGGTATAATGGTATATTGAGACATATTTTAGTTCATTTATATTATGATGAACAAAAAAATGTTGTTTGAGAGATTTCTAATACAATACCTATCCTCATGCTTTTAGAAGAGAAAAAATGCATCCTTGTCGACCTTTTAATAATGGAACCCTAAATAATCCTCATGGACCTACATGTAATTTAAGTTTTCATCTATTATAATGTTCTGATGACTAACCTTGTTGGCACTTTCTATATTGTAATATGCATGCTGCCATTAATGTAGCAAGTTTTCTCTACGAATCAATAACAAGAAATATATTCATATATCATTTTCATTGGTTTGTATTTTTGAAATACTATTATGCTAACTAGTTGGTTAATTTTATTAGTTAAGTTGATATCCTATTGTGGCTAGTTTCTATACTCAAGTTTGATTATTTGGATTGTTTTTGGAAACTCATTAATTCATTCTTTCCCTCAGCTATGCCTAGCATATTAAAGACTTTAGGATATTTGCTCATGGCGTTGTGACGACTTATGCAATCTTGAATTTATGGATTTTAAATACATGATTTACTTTTTCTTTATGATTTGTTGAGAGAAATCCTCTGTGCGTATTACAAGGTCTTCAAGGCTTAGTTAAATTCCAAGTTTTCCAACATTTCCTCGGGTTGGGAATACAACACCAGTTTGTAGGGGTTTGATTACGTGTGATAACTAATTATGATAGTTGGTTGCTCCTTCGGTTCCCTTAATGAAAATTCCGCGTTTTAGTCTATGGAAGCACCTAGTATGAAGGAAAATGGTTATTTCAGGCCATTAAAAATAGAGAAAGTTGTCCAGCTGTGCTATCATCACATATAGCCTTCGAAATCTATAGTAGAATATCTTTTATGTCCATCTTTATCGCCGTAAAATCAACTTGTGCCAAGACTAGCTTTGTTTTAACTTCATATTCGAACCCTTCTACCCATTGGTTTAGTGATGCAAGACTTAAATGCTTAGGTGATGTTAATTAAGAATTTGCATGCTTCAATTTAAAGAGCAATATTAATTAAAAGTCTTGTTGTGATTTAAACAACGAACTAAAACAAGAAGGGGGTGAAACTTGCTTAGGCTAAGTCACACAACTAGAAGTTAAAATTAAAAATAATTAATTATTCAAGCATAACATACATGGAAGATTTTCAATGATAAATCCCTAAATTAACAACGAGATTAGTTATTATAAGAGATCCCTTACTCAACTCTTAATATTAGGCTTAGTGGAGGGAATTAACACAACCTTTTATGAATCAATTAAGACCACAATTGAGAGCAATTCAGAAGATATAAAATTTGGAGGAGTTTACCTTCGTCAGGGTTTGGAAACAATCTGCCACTGCACAGAGGAGAGTTGCTCGTCAATGGCTTCAGTAAGGGTGAAGACGATCCTCTCAACATAGTCCTCTACAGTTTGGTCAATCTCTAGGTTGAGGTCGAAGAACGGTGAGTTGAGGATATCGATGTGACCTTGATTGTTGTAAACGAACCCGTGATCTTGTTCAGGATCGGCCATACAACGGTGGACAACAACTTCAATGTTCGGGAGCCTTTGAACAGCAATCAAAGACTTTTCAGGCGGCGAGACAACTATAGGAGTTTGCTGAAATTGCTGGACAACAGCTAGGAATGTCTGGAAATCGTTTTGGCCTATGGGAAATTCTGGACAACAACCTATAATGTTTAGAAAAGCCTTGGACAGCTGCTATAGGATGTTGGGAGCTTCTGGACAGCAGTTCGTGACCTCCAGGGGTGCAGGACAGCAAGATGACCTTGCTGGAATACGTGGGCAGCTAGCAGGAATTTCAGAGAAAGAGAGGCAAACATGGGGGAGAACTTGGGAGGCGGCGGCTAGGGCTGGGAAAGGTTAGGGAATGTTGATTTGAGAGTTTAAGGGAATACTTTAATTAAGTACGAGGGAGGAACGGGGGGGGGACAGATTTGATTGGGATTGGGTGGGGAATTAATGGGAGGGAATTAATGTGGGTTGATTGAATTGGAGAGAGATGGTGGGCCGACCATGCATGGGGTTTGATTGGGGAATTGGAAAATCCTTTCCAAACCTAGGATATTAACTAAGGAAAGAGGATCAAAGGGAAATATCTAATTAATTAATTGAATTGGAGAGAGAGGGTAGGCCGGCCATGTATGGGGGACTTGATTGGGGATTTGAAGCCCTTTCAAACATAAGGTTTTAATTAAGTAAAAAGAATTAGAGGATAATCTCTAATTAATTTTAGATTTGAATAGATTGGAAAGTGTCCAAATTAAATCAATCTTATTTTAGGAAAGGATTCAAATTCAAATTTTATTTGAATTTGAAATTTGAAATCCTTCCAAATTGAAGATAATCCAAATTAATTCTTTCCTTGGTAGAAGTTTTGGAAAGGAAGGAGGGAAGGGGATAGGGCCGGCGGGTGAGGGCTCGGGAGGTTTGTGGCCGGCGGTTGATGGGCTTGGGTTGTTGTGGCCGGCGCCTAAGGGGGGACGGAGGGGATTGGTGGCCGGTGGGGTTATGAAGGTGGTTGGGTTTTGGCTAAGAAAGGGAGATAGGAGTGGGGTGCTAGGCCGACGGCTTTTGGATGAAGCTTGACCGGCGGTGGAGGGAGGAGGGGGAGAAAGAGAGAAATAAAGGTAACCACGAGCCCGAACGCTTCCTGCAGCTGATGGGTGATTCAATTCTCTCACCTAGGGTTCTCTCCAAAGCTCTCAAGCTCTCTCAGAACATAGACGTGCAGAAAATCATAATATCTTATTAGCCCTCAAAGGAAGGGGAGGTTTTAAATAGCCAATACAATAAAGAGTAATATAAAGACCATCTTGCCCCTCGGGCTTACACATGATTAAGCCCTCAAGGGGGGGGCATAAAAGGAAAAAGTACAATAAAACTCATAAACTAATACATCAATAATAAATCTAATACAATGATCAAAAGTAAAGCGGCACAATCGTGGCCGTAGATCAACGGCCACGCCTCTGGTAGACTCTCCAAGGTCTGATGCCCTCATCATTTAGACTCATTCTCCAGTTCCTGACACTTTCTCAAGCCTGCACTAAACATTGGGTAGTGAAAACCATGATGATATCTCAGCACTTTCCAAACATTTTAAACCCAGTCTCATTTGTATTTCTATATAAATGATCTTAATGAACTTGACGTAACCTTTTTTTAGATGTTGTTAGCATTATTTAAAAGTAAGCTGTGGAACCTGCATTACTGGCCCTTCCAATTGGCTATAGTCCTATTTTGCAACTGGTTTTGTGTGATACATAAGATCTATTCAGGTCGTAGATAAGTTGACGCAGATACCTCAGATCAACATGGTCCTGTTCAAGTAAAACTAACTCAAGAAGTGTGTAGAGTTCTTTGGATAGGTCAAGTAATTTTACTGTTGTTTTGAATCCTGATGCTAGACTTGATACGCAACTGAATATGACACGACAACTTTTGCCTTTGTATGGTTTCCTAGAATCCATGTCCAAGGTTGTTCCTATGATTTAATGTCTTAATAGTGCAAGAAGTCATTGGGATATAGCTTGCCGGATGTATATTGCAGATTTGAAATGTGAAACGCTTGCAAAATATTTGCTAATTGAGACCCACACTAACCAAGGCTAACACCATATTTCCTTCCTCATATGTTGCCACTTTATTGATCCATGAGTTCTATAATAAATTTTTTGCCTGCTCATCAATACGTGCATTATTATAATTATTTTCTAATTATTATTCTGATTTTTCTTAAATACTTGCCATGGTATTTGAGCCTTGGATTTTCTCTTAGCATTTTCATATATTACAACCTTCACTATTGCGTTGTCTATGACTTGTAAGCTTTAATTCCTGCCATTCTCTTTCATCTATTACGCCTTATTTTTTATGACTACAACCTTTATCATTGGTTTGCTGCAAATATTTCCCACTGTTGCAACCTTTATCGTTGTATTGAAATAAATTGGTTCCATCACTGCATTATTGTATTTTTTTTTAATTTTCTTATATGAATAGAATTTTAATTTCTCTCTCTGGACAACAATAACGATACATACTTACCCTTGGTGTTGGGTTCTTTTGGAATTAGGGATGCAATCTAAATCCAATTGAAGGGTTGCAATATATTCATCAATATATCAATTAAATAAAAAAACTATCTAAAGTGATCATAAATAGTTTTAAGGTTCTTAACGGAAAGAAGAAAATTGGGTTTTATATCAAGGATGTGAAAAATAAAATAAAATGCTATCATAGAATTAGATTCGGGAATTTAAAGAATGCTAACAAGTATATTTTTTCAGTAAGATTCAAGGTTTCAAGATTTTGATTTTGCATGAAGAAGTTAATGTTATGTGGGAAAAACTAGCTAGTGATATTGTGATATTAAGAATATTGCAAATTATGTGCTTGTAGTATCAAAAGAAAAAGCTTTTAATAGTAAAAATAGTCGGTAGTAGAATCAAAATGTGCAAGAAAAGATAGAAAAAAAAGAATCTTTGTTATACAAATTGGTTTAGATGCAAAGCTCAAAAAATTTGGAAAGAAATAGAGGGGCTCGTAAGGAGTCTAAGAAAGCAATATGCTATGCAAAGAATTTTTCTTTTAATAATTTATATAATAAATTAAATGCTAAAGTGGGTGAAATATGTATGTATAAGTTAGCCAAGCAAATAAATAGAACAAGCAAGGATCTATTTTTAAGCGAAGTGTATTAAGAATGAAGATAAAAAAGTGCTTTAGTTGAAAGATGATATTTAACATATTTGGATGAGATATTTCGATAAGCTTTTCAATTAAGATTGTGAGAACACAATTGACTTGATGAAAATGAAGATTTTAATTTTTATTGTCGTATTTGTAAATCGAAGTCAGAGAGACTTTAAAGAGAATGAAATGTGGAATAAGTGTTGGATTTGATGATATTTCAATAGATGTGTGAAAGTGATTAGGAGATAAAAGAATTTTCTGGCTTACTAAACTTTTAAATATTATTTTGAAGACTAAAAAGATGCCAGATGGGTGGTGTATGCTAGTTTGTATTTTTAAGAACAAAGGTTATGCACAAGAGTGCACACATTATATTGTAAGGAAATTAATGTGCCAGCCATTAAAATTGTGAGTAATTTGATTTAGGAAGGATTTTTGAGAAAGTTTAGGAGTAATTTGAATGTAGGGACTGTTTAGGGATTTCCTTTTGATTTGTATGCATTAAATACTTTGTTTTTCTAGGGTTAGAGCATCTTGACTTTAGCTGAAATTTTGAGATCTCTTAGATTTAGGTTTTCTTTGGGCTATAGCGGCGTCTAGAGATTTGGGAGAGATCGATCCTCCTCTCGAATAGAAGATCAATTGTATCTTGTTATTTTCCGTCTCCCTTTTATCAAATAATACAAATTATCTACTGTTTTTGTGGATTTGTGTGGATTTTGGTAGAGAAAGATCGCTGTTTTTCGAAGATTGATAGGAAATACTTGAGATCTACAAGTTTCCTATCATATATTTATTGTAATTCAGTATTATTCATGCTTAAGATAAAGATCTTTTGATGGCCAGGGAATGATCGAAGAAGTCTTATTTTTATTCATGATAGATTAGGAGCCAAGTAATATTTCTATATAAAACTTCGAAGCCATAAAATAATGCACCTACTATGCCATATATGCCTCAACTGCCAGAGAAAATTAGCGAAAACTAGGTCCTACGAGAGTAAGATAATGCTATGTTAACAGAATATCCAATATATGATGTTATAGAACTTATGATAATATAACATATGGATTTGATCAACTTAAGGAAAGAAAATATGTATTTGTCTTTAAAATACCTACAAGATAAATTCCATTTTGTTTGAGTTTATGTTACATGTTCCTACTTATTTCTATTGGCTTAAATGAATGGTTTAGATTAAAATTAAAAACTTAAGGACTAGGATTTCTTTCTTCGTGAAATATTGAGCAATTTTCCATTAGAACACATAGATAAGATCAACATAAGGAAATAAAATGCTTATTTTGCATTAAAGTACCTACATACAAAATAAATTACATTTTTTTAGTTCTATTTTAGAAATTCCAACTTATTTTTATTGGTGTAAATGAATGGCTTTTACTACTACTACAACACCAACAACAACATCAAGCCTTTGTCCCACTATATGGGGTCTGAAATGAATGGCTTTTACTAAAGAAAAAAAATAATGACTTGGATTTTCTATTGGTGAAATCTCAAGCGACTTTTAAATAGTAGTATAGGCAATATGAATAGTGCAGACAGAGCATATTTGATGCAAGCAAACTCGACAGAAGAGACAAATTGGAGAACACCAGGACAAAGTATAAACAAAACTCGATTCAACTATAGCTTGCAAACAACCAAACAAACATCCGAAGAAACAAAAGCCAAATCAAACTAAACAAAATAAAATCATAAAAATGCTGTCCTCAGTATAACCATCTAGCGGTTTCCTGACATGCAATGAGAGTAGGAAAATATAATAAAACTGTGCTTAGGCTTGCAAACCGAGGGTCCACCACTGCAAAAGAGTCCAACGTTCTACCAAACTCCTCCGGCAAATGTCTCCAAATTTCAGCCAACATACAACTTCCAAAGCTCAAGAAGAACAATACAGGTGGAGTGGAACTTGCGTAGAGAAGAAGAGGTTAGAAGCCAAGACGAAAAGGAATAGCTCGCAAGTTATCCTAGAGGGGGAGGAGAAGGGAATACATAGCTCGCAAGCTTTCAAAACCCGCAGGATTTTGTAGAGTTTTAACTCGAGATTTTCAACAACCTTTTCCATCCCAAAACAACTCATCTTTATAGGCAAAAGAAGGTAGACAAACATCCATAACACCTCCAACCAAATCCAATTAGAATTGGGGAAATGAAAGGCCAAAAGTCACCAAATAGAAGGCCAAAAGACAGCAAAACAACAGCTGAAATTCTGCACATAAAAACAGAAAAACAGCCCACGGAAATCCCCCCCAATTAGCCACGGGAAACCAGCCAGCAAGGGACTCGAAAAACCAGCACAGGAGACAAAGCAGCAGGTCACGGGAAACCAGCCAGCAAGGGATTCGAAGAGCCAGTACAGGAGACAAGGCAGTAGGTCACGGGAAACCAGCCAGCAAGGGAAAACCGAGAAGGCAAAGGGAGGGGAAGAGGCACAAGTCCACTCCATAATAAAATCCTTGAAATAATATCATACCTTTTTAAATTAATGAGCTAGGAAGTGCATTTAATCCCCAATCATTGAGCTAAACTTCAGCTCAAACATTTATGAGCTAACACCAAGTAGAATCTAGAATTTTGATCTTAACACCAAGCAGCCAAGGCCCACCCGAGAGCAGCAACTTCATCAAACCGAAAACAACAAGCAGCCCAAGGACAAAATGGACCCAAGAGCAAGCAAACCCAAGGCTTGCCATGCCTAGCACATTCCTACCATGATCATTGGATGCCCAACCATCATAGAATAGCTTAAAAAAATATAAAACACAACTAACATTGTTCAAAATACATTAAAACAAAAATAAACTAAAAATATGAATGCATCAATATTGATATGATCTATATAAGAAAATAAAATGTGCATTTATCTTTTGATACATACAAAATAAATAAAATTGTGCTTGAGTTTTATTTTAGAAGTTTGAACTTATTTTAATTGGCATAAATTAATGGTTCAGATTAAAGATAGAAACTTAATGAACAGGATTTTTTCATAGTAAATTCTCAAGCTACTTTTTAATAGTAGGATATATATAACTTAAATACATGTGCGTCAAATGTACATAAACTAACTCATTAATTAAAAAGTATTTTTATTTCATTTATGTCTATTATAATTTTTTTTAAAATAAATATTAACTTTTATAATTCAGACGTTATCCTTAAGATAAATATCTAGGTGTTTAATCTTATATAAAATCATGGATATAATTTTTTAAATTTTATATGAAAAATTTTCATCATTATTTCCACATACGGTGCTTAGGGAATCATCAAAGAAATCTTATTATTATGCATAGACTAGGAGCCAATCATGATTTCTATATTATAATCTCAAAGCCATAAAATAATTCAGCTATTTTGCCGGTCAACTGCCAGAGAAAATGGAGAGAAGGTTGGGTCCTATGGGAGTAAACTGTGATACGTTAAGATAGTATCCAATATATTATGATATAGAACGTATGATAATAGAAGCGTATTTATCTTTAAAATATCTAAGTTTGTTTGAATTCTATTCTAGAAATCCCAACTAATTCCTATGGGCTAAAAGTGTTTTAGATTAAAGATAAAATTTAATGGTTAGGAGTTTCCCTTGGTGAAATTTCAAGCTTTGGCGTAAATGAGTCTTTTAGATTAAAGATAAAATTTAATGTCTCGTATTTCTCTTGGTGAAATTTCAAGCTACTTATTAGTTGAGTATGGCTATGCAGCTTGGATACTCTTACTTTTTGCACTTTGATTCAAGATTGCCATCTGAAAAATCCTGTTTTTGAAATGGAAGTCTTTTTTTTTTCTTTAGGCAACAATTAATATCTTGGCAAGAATTGAAGTTAGAATGTTTTATATCATCTTCTCTTTTTCTCATATTTTTGGTGTGTGCTCATGCATACACATGTAAACTTTCATGTATGCCATGTATGCCAAAGGTATGTTTATTCCCTGCCGTTCTTTCAAAATGTTTTCCATTGGCAGTTATTGCGAAGGCATCGTCAGAAAAGTATTAACCAAAGTACTTTTACTCCTGAAGAGGTTAGATTTCTTATCACTATCCAGCTGATTGGCTCGAATTTCCTGTTTAATGTGTTTATTCATTTGATGATATAGACCATCTTCTTCTGCATGTTAGTAGTTACTAGTATTTTGTTTAACTTAATCAATTCGTTTTGTGGTTTTCGGCTTATGAGTTTTTAAGAATGACCAAACAAGGCCTGTAGAAAGAGTGATAAGCAAAACAGCAGTTTAAAATATGAGTTCTTGGGCTAGACCTTTTTTTGCAATGTATGTTGTTCATCAGGATTTCCCTACTTCATACCAGTTCCTAAATTTGGCCCACTGAGGATGCATTTGATTAAGATGCCATCCTTTATATGCTTCAAAACTATTTAGTAAGCTTTTGTCATGCTCCATTTCAACCCTTTCTCAGTCATCCTTGAGGCTTAAAAGATATGAATAATGTAAGCAGACCCATTTCTCACTAATACTCATCCCAACTTTACTAATGATGATCAAGTGAGTGAAAAATAATTCGACTAGATCATCAGAACATATATATCATCCTTTAATAGATTTATCATTCTTATTGATATGAAATATAACTTAATTCATCAAAATACATTACAGAGATTTTAATACTTTTAGATAAAATTTATATATTCTCGAAATCTTTAATTCACATCATACACCTTTTTTTTTTTGTATTACATCTCTCAATAGTACTCCCACCTATTATGGTATTGGGGTACATGATAATTAGTTTACTTGTCTATAGTCTTCCGCCTTTCCCTTGAAAAATAATCATTGTAAAATCTAATGAGCTTAATGCTCAACGAGATAAACAATTCTAATTTAAGGTTCAAATATTTAAGAAAGAAGTAATAATATGCATGCTGAAATTTTGAATTAAATTGAGCATTTTTTTTATAAACATAATTAGCTTTGTATTAAAGGATTCACATCATATTATATTTATTGATTTAGAGAAAGCATATTTTAAGAAAAGTGTTATGGAGAGTTCTAGAAAAAAGGAGTTAATTATGCTTATATTCAAGTCATAAAGGATTTTTATGCAGGAGCTTTTACTTGTCTTAAAAAATAAGGTGATTTGACCAAGTATTTTTCTATTTCGATTGGAATACATCAAGGATTAGCTTTATGCTCATATCTTTTTGGTTTAGTCATGGATGTTCTTACTAGACATTTGCAAGAGGATATACCCTGGTGTATGTTATTTTCTGATGATATTCATCTTGTTAATAAGACTAGAGAGAGTGTTGAAAGAAAACTTGAATTATGAAGGTCAATCTTAGAGCCTAGAAGTTTTCGTTTGAGTAGATCTAAAATTGAATATATTGAGTGTAATTTTAGTAGTAAATAGTAATTAATCTATTAGTGGATTGTGACATTGGGTGATAAACTTATTAAAAACTGTGCACGTTTTAGATATATCTCAGATCTGTTGTTCAAAGCGATGATGAAATAGATGAAGATATTATTAGTGGAATTTACATTGGATGGTTGAAGTGGAGGAATGCATCGGGCTTGTGTGATAGAAAAGTACACCTCAAATTTAAGGAAAAATTTTATAAGATTGTGGTGAGACCTGCAATGCTTTATGGTTCAGAATGTAATAGAAGCCTAAAATTAAATTAATTGTTGTAGAGATGATGATGCGCAGGTGGATGAGTGGTTTTACACATGGATACAATACGAAACAAGTAGATACATGAAAGATTGGTGTAGCTCCAGTGGCAGATTAGATTAGAGAGAGTTGTCTTAGATGATTTGGTCACAGAAAGTGTCAGCCTTCCGATGGGCCGGTTAGGAGAGTAGATATATTAGATCCGGGCTATGTTTAGAAAGGTGGAGATAAAGCTTAGAAAACTTGGTTAGAAAGTATTAAAAATGTCTTTTTTTTATTTGTTTAAATGAGAATTTAACTCTTAAAATGACAGAATGGAGAAATAATGATTCATGTAGTTGCCTCCACGTCATGGTATAAAGGCTTCATGTTTGTAGACATTATTAGCTTAATGCAATGATAATTTTTAAGAAAATTAGCTTTGACATTTAAACATATAAGACATAAATTTAAGTTAATAGTATAAATAACTGTAAGTACATTGAGTGCATCTTGTCAAAATATAAATCATGAAATGCATTCTACTTACCAATTTACTTGCACCATTTTTATTTTCATTTTAATTACCACTCTTTTTCCTTAGAAATGTCATATAATATTTGTAGGCTTTTGGCACATTTATATCATTGGTTGTCAACTTGCTCGTCAGCCCTTATGGGGATCATCAAACCTATAATTCCATATGTAAGGAAAATGATTAAGAGAGGAATTAATATGGGGATCATCAAACCTATAATTCCATATGTAAGGAAAATGATTAAGAGAGGAATTAATGTGGGGTTTGAATTCAAATATGAGAAAAAGATATGTAAGGAAATTCTCCTAATTGTGTTTAGGATGGTTTTAATTATTTAGGAAAGCTTCATAATTTTGTTTATTATATGTTAGGAATGATTTAATTAGGGATGTTTTAATTAGGAAGTTTTCAATTACGTTTTTTTTTTGTGTTGTGGCTATTTAAGGGGGAGTTGTCGAGAGTTTAGGATTATGTTTTGTTCGTTTTTCTGCTGTAGTTTTTTTAGAGGCTTCCTAGCGGCATCTAGGTTGTTCGGGAGAGCCATCTACCTCTCGAATTGTAGATCACTTATATCTTGTTTCTTATTGAAGTATTAATACAAAATCAGTCACCATTTTAGTTTTACTGCAGTTTTTCTATTTGTTTGTTGTTTTTGCTTCCAAGGCGTATCACCATCTTGCATAATTTGGTAGAACTTGATAAAAGGGGACTAAGTGTTAATTAAAACAAAGTTAGTGTCAGCATACTTACAAGATGGTTATTATTAAAAAATAGTTTTTGCTATTTAATAATTACTGCAATCATTTAGTTGTAGGTGTATGAAGACTTTGTACATGTTATACAAAGGATAATATAGGGGCATACAAAAATGTGAATCATGTTCAATTGAAGTTGTGAGTAGATGAATGATTCTTGGGAGCTAATTATGACCAATTGAAGTTATAAACTTTGGTCAATGCTAGTCTTTTATGGGGCAAAATTTTTTATAGTTTTTTCATCATGGTAGGACAAGACGTTCGATGATTTTATTGTTATGCTCGAAGGAGTAAGTGTTTCTCTTGCCATAATTATTCCTATCCATATCATAAAACTAGGGTCTTCCTTAAAGATTATGTGCTATGCCCATTCGAAGGACATCACACTAGATTTTAGTGCCATAATTGCATAACTTGATGGGGAATATACATCTAATGATCATAGATAGAGATGCATTATTTACTTGACTAATATGGAAAGGATTTGGGTATTGCTAAGGCTGAAATTTTTTCATAACTTGTTTTTGTATAGATATGACATTTAAATATTTAATGAACTATCATTTTCTATAATCAATCTACACCTTGTATTATTGCATGTGGTATACGTATAAAAAATGTTTTTCATTCTTCAGTCATCAGAATGTGATTTTATAACAAAAAAACATGTTATGATAGCCAAAGTGGTGAGGGTGAGTTCATCATCAGAAGTGGGGTCTTCATGTAGGACCTCCTCAAGGATATTATTTTTAGGTGTCTTCTTTGCATCTTGAAAGAGGATTTCAGCTTTACATTGCTGCTACAAGTGTCCTTTCTTGTGGCACTTAAAGCAAAAAAAACATTTTGGAATTCCTAAGGTCTTTTAGTGTAGGGCTTAGGCTGGACAATGTTAGTGGAAAGAGAAGCTAAAGATATACTTAATAAACTTGGGATTGTTAAGTGGAGGGACCTCCAGGTTTTGAATTGAGGGTTGTCGCTTTTTTATGTTTCTCAATCAATAAATTATAATGGAAGTCTTCTTTTATAGTGTGGGAATCTTGAAGTTCTATATGATGCCTAATGTTTAATATAAGATGCAAGACAAATTTATTGGCTATAGGCTGCTCCAAATCAGTGCATATGCTAATAACTATCAATGGAAGTGGTCCTAGCTAACATGTTCTCAAAAGCATTCACAAATTCAATCACTTGTACATTAACTTATTTTGAATTGAGGTATTGGCTATGTTGATATTTCTTATGTATTTGGGTTAGTTTTTTTTTTTTTTTTTTTTTTGTTTAATTTCAACATGTTATGTGAGAAAAAGTAACTAGTGATATTAAGAATGTTGTAAAAATGTGTTTGAGTATCTAAAGGAAACGCTCTTAATAGTAAAAAAAAGTTGGTGGTGAAATCAAAATGTGCAATAAAAGATAAAAATAAAAAAAATTGTTATAAAAATAGAGTCTAAAGGATTTCGTTTAAGTAGATTTAAAACTGAATATATGAGTGTAATTTTAATAGTAATAGATCTAGTGGGGGATTGTGACTTTGGGCAGTCAAGTCATTAATAATAGTACACGTTTTAGAAATCTTGGGTCTATTGTTCAGAGTGATGGTAAAATAGATGGGGATATGATTAGTAGAATTCAAGTTGAATGTTTGAAGTGGTGGAATGTATCGGGCTTGTTGTGTGATAGAAAAGTTCCCCTCAAAATTAAGGGAAAATTCTATAAGATGGTAGTGAGACCTGCTAATGTGGACATCAGTACTAAGATTTGGCGCATCTATTACAGGCGGCGTCGTAAATCGACGACCATTATTTAAATTATGAGTTATTTTATTCCTTTTAATTCTTATTTGATGTATTTCCTGTTTTACCCCTAGGTAAGTTTATTTGAGTGTTGTGGCCCAAGGGGCAATTTTGTAATTTTTATTTTTCTCATGTTGTGGCCTATATTTAAGGCCTTTAGCTATTGTAATAGGGGGAAGATTTGATATTAAAAAAAAATTGTGTCCACACTTTTGTTCTTTGTGAGAGAGCGTTAGTGAGATTCCTACTATGAGAGGAATCAGAGTTGTCACCAGCCGCAGGATGGATCCTGGCTTGTGATTTGAAGTCCCTTGGAGAAGGGCAAAAGCATCGCCCGTCAGTCCTCGGAAGTGTCCGAGGCTCGCGGTTTTTGTTTTCTCTCTTTCGTTTTATCTTCTATGGTTAGTTTTTGTTTTCTTTATTCTGTCTTTGTATTTTTGTCTTCCCTCGCCACCTTCCATCATTTGTCTTCGTCACATCCAACTCCACCAAATTTCCCCCAACTTCCTCCATACACCAAGCTCTACTAAAAATTCTCCATAGCCTCGGCCACCTCCATCCGTCCCAAATTGGCCGCCGACCAAGACCCCATCCGCCGGCCCCATTTCCCTTGGTCCCCTTTAATTTATTTTTTAATTTGGATTGGAATTAATTGGGATTAATTTGAAATTCAAATTCATCCAAATTGAATTCAAATTATTTCCTAATTTAGTTAATCTATTTTAGGAAAGTATTTGATGTAGATCCACTTTTGAATTTTAAATTCAAGAGGATTTAAATTGACTATTTCCTAATTCTATATTCTAAATTAGGAAGCCTTTAATTGCTCCCACCAATCAATTCCCCACCCATGCATGCCGCCGGCCTTCATACCCTCTCCCAGTAATTCCCTCTCAAAATATTTCCTAACTCCAACACCTTAGGAAATATTTCAAAACTCCCAATTCCCCCATCTGGCCGAATTTTCAATCACCTTATTCTTGCAATTCTTTCCTAAAATCTGATTGGAATTTGGGAAATAAATTCCCTCTCTATACATTAATGTCTCCCTCTTCATGCCCGTAACTCCCTTCCAATCAACCTGCTTTGATTGGGGGCAATTAAGTTCAGTTTTCCTTCCCAACTCACAGTTTTCCCGTTGGAATTAATTCCAGAATTTCCTCTCATGCTCAGCCTATCCCGGATTCAAGGAATTTGAATTCCCTCATTGAAGTACAACTCCTATACTATTTCTTCCTTCCCGTAACAGCTCTTTGGAATTTTTTTTTTTAAAAAGAAAGTGGCCGAATTCCCTGAAGCTTTAATTCCTAATTTATTTTCCTAAACCCATTAAGGGAATTAAGAATTAACTACACCTCAGCCCCTCAATCCCGTCAACCTACTCGCCCCTCTCCCTCTCTGTCAACTTTTCCCCTCTCTCAACTAGCTCTCTCTGCCAACCAAAAATCTGAAGCTTACTTCAGATTCTTCTCTTGTTTGCTGGCTCTCAACCGCTCACCATCCCAAGAGAAACTTTTTCTCTTCATTCATCTCAAGAGGTCTAAGCAAGACAAAGAACAGGAAATCTGAATTCTCTCAGGTTTTGGGGGAACAAAACTGACATTGTTCTCATATTTCGGAGAAGAAATCCTCTCCCTAGCAAAGCCGTTTTTTTCGTTCTACATCACCTGCAATGCTTTATGGTGCAGAATGTTGGTCACTAAAAAAGAAGCATATTATTAAGTTAAGTGTTGTACAGATGAGGATGCTAAGGTAGATGAGTGGCTTTACTCTTAGAGATATAATATGAAATAAGCATATATGTGAAAAGGTTGGAGTAGTTACAATGGAGTGGAAGATAAGATTAGAGAGAGTTGCCTTAGATGATTTGGTCACATAAGACTACGGCCTTTGGATGACCTAGTTAGGAAAGTAGATGTATTAGATTTGGCTTGTGTTAAGAAAGCTAGAGGTAGACCTAAAATGATTTGGTTAGAAAATATTAGAAATGACCTTTCTTTGTTAGATTTAAATAAGAATTTGACTCTTACAATGACACAATGGAGAAACATAATTCATTTGTCCGACCTCACGTTGTGGGATAAAGGCTTGATGTTGTAGATGTATATTCTTCGATGTCTTCCTAGGTCAAAGTAGTTCTACCATTCCTCTATTCTTTAGCTAACCCATTTTACCAATGTATCTTAGCATTATCTATGAGTTTTAATCTGACAAATTTGGTTCTTTAATAATCATATATACTTTGTTAATCAAAGAGGAATCTATCTAGGTTACTCAATCTAAGAACTTGTTTCGGTTATGATTATCATAAAAAATGGAGCTTCAATCTTATGTCTAAGGCATGGATCATCATGTCTCTAAAGGTCATACTTATTATTGGTTCTTTGGACGTAAGGTTTGCCATGGATTTTCAAATCATTGATTGAATTATTTGGGTGTCAAATTTATTTTCATTTGTTGCTTTGTATTCTTCAAATTGATCAAATGCCTATGATGATGGTGCAATGGTAAAATCGGTAATAATGCATTGATTCTTTTTAAAGACAATGCAAATAAAACGATAGATGCAGTGAAAAATATATTTCATAACCTGAAGATGGTTTGACTTAAAGAACTTTCAAGGGCACAATCGACCATTTAAGCCGGAAGCTTTGCTTAGATAGTTTAGGTCTTTGGATAAAGACCTTTTATTCTACTTGAAAATAAGTTAATGATATATTTCTCATGTTGTGTGGATGCAAGAAAACTTTTTTTTTTTTTGTGCTAAAAGGAAGCTGAATACAAAGAAGAAAAGAAAATTTTAAGCCTTGCAACAATTTGTTAACAACTTAAATTCAATGGTAATGGTAAGGAAGTATAAAACTTTTTATCCTAATGCTAGCATAAGAAAAATCATTTCAACTTTTAGTCCACAATACATCCAAAATTTATGTGGAATATACTCTCACTTTAAGTGGTTTATATGTGAAATGAAATCTCCTGATGTTAGAATGTAGTAATATAGTCTTGTATGAATTGTTCAAATCACTATCTTAGCTTCTACCATCAAATACTCCTTTGCTTGGTCGATGGGACATAACTTCTCTTTTAAGATTGCCTTGAATTTGCTCTAGGTCGTCCTTATCAGATCGCGGCTCTTGCTTCCATGTTCAACTACATAAGGGCATTACTAGATAGATTCAGTTTCATGAAAGGTGTTTTCTTGTCCTGATTATAGCTATAGAAAGAAAGGTAGGTCTTTACATGCTCGAACTAGCCATTGAGTTTATCAGCATCGACAGCCCCTTTATATGTTGGAAATTCCAGCTTGGTGTCAACCTTGAACAGTAGTCTGGTTTTTGACTAAAACTTTGGCATGTGAGCCTCTTCATTCTCCAGGTCCTTCCATTCTTCAAAATTTATTCCATCTAGATTGACAGCATATGCACTACGTTATTATTATAATTATTTTTGGCAAGGATAAGCAAGTTATTATGATTTGTCATGGTTCCTATTTGTTTCGAGGCCATGAGCTAATGGAACATCTGTTCCAGAGGCTTAGAGCTTCTTCATAGTCCTCGAATATTTGTTGTTGCAGTTTTTTTCTCGGCTTAATTGGAGATTGGATTTGATTTTTGGCTTGTATTTTGTATTTATTTGGATTGGTGTTGGGTATTTCTTGGCTTCTCCATTTTTCCTTTTAAAAGTAGAACCTGACATGCTTTGATACTAAAAGGTTGATCCAAAACCCAATGAGTCAAATAACCTAGTGTTGGTCAAATGATCTACAAGTTCCCTTCTCTTCTTCTTCTTCTTCTTTTCACTATTTTAGTTCCTCTATAGTTAATGTAGCATACTATCCTTATAGTAATTTACTATTTTGGGGTAAATTTGGATGACTGTGAACCTCCAAAGTGAAATTCAATTGCTTGCGGTCTTTGGTCCTTGCTAACAACAAAGAGGATTAGAGTGTGCTGAGAGGGATGGCATACTATGGTTTTTTTATTGGACCCTCTTGCTAAGTGAGAGAGATGAGCCATGGTGAGTAGAGAGGAAGAGGGGGTTTTGAATTTTAGATTTTGGAAATCCGATGACTTATTTTTTGTTGATCAGAATAGATTTATTTATAAACTTGAAAGGTACTCAAAATCCTATCTGAATGTATGAATCAAGGTATGAATAACTTCTTAAAAGTTGTAATTCCAAGTGAATTTCCTTCAATCAAAGTGCAAAGATCTTCTTTAAGTTCAAAGGTCTATCAAACTCTTTTAGGTTCTACTTAACTTCCTCCAAAATACAAAGATTGACCAATTCTTTAGTATAATATTACCATTCATGTTGTTTCCTATAATATTATTTCTTCTCTTGTACAATGTGAAACTGTAAAAGTTGAATTTTTGGGATTTTGTTTCATTAATTTCTCTTGCCATTCAAGGATGTGATTCTTCGTTATCCTCGGCATTTTGTATTGTTTGGATTAGTTAATAATTTAATTATTTTCTAAGGAGTTTTCTTGTCCTATCAGGCCAATAATTTGCGAGTTATGCTTTTGGGCATGGTTGATGATCCTCGTGTTGTCCTCATTAAGCTTGCTGATCGATTGCACAACATGAGAACAATGTACAAATTCTTATCTGTTAGTCCTCATTTGTACAGTATTCAATTTTTTGTTATCATATTGCATGTCCCCATGTGCTAATCTGTAGTTTTTATAAGACTTTGCTGGTACAAGTTTAAAATATGCCAAAATAAATCAAATCACTAAATTTTAAATTTTCTTTATAGATTTTTTTTATTTTAAAGTAGAAGCTTTTAAATTGACGTCTCAAATTTGATGATTGTTCTAATTTGCCAACTAGAATGTTCTCTCTTGAATTGAACTAAGTATCTTGGGGTGTGCAGACGTGCACATTATGGGATGAGTCGTTATTAATAAAGAGCAAAGCTGTTTTGATTACCTTATTGGAGGAATTTATAATTCTGGTTTGTTGTCTGTCATTTTAGGCAAATTACAAAAAAAAAAAAAAGAAAAAAGGATACCATTTTAGCTGCTTGATGGTCAAACTCTTTCAGTTGACTGTCCGATAATGGAATTAAAATGCTTTAATTTGTTAAAAGTATATTTAGTTCCTGGGATCGAAATTATGATTTATAAGCTTTTGGGTCTGTCTAGGTAAGGTGTCCATATTTGGATGAAATCAAGGTTTTGTTTGAGATTTCTTAGACCATTGAATAAAAGGAAAGGTTTGAGAAGTGACTGAGTTATAATGCAGATAAAATAAAAAGTATTCCAGAACCATGCTTTATTAATTTATGATTAACAAATTTTTAAGTCCAAATGGTTGGCTATATGAAAGTGAATTTAATTTCCTTGGGTTACTAGAAATTGGAACACATGAAATGACTGCTATATTACCCATTAATTTCCTGCGCTAAACTTGCTTTGATTTACTTGGTAAGACCTATATTAGATGACCAGCATCAGTAATAGCCTTATCCTATGCTGAGATTTCGTTTTGCATCAAGAATTCAGTGGTTGCTTCAAGTAATTTTGGTAGGCATGAAATAATGCGTTAAGTAACTGGAACTTTTCTATATCTAATATTTTATGCACTATGTGCATAGCGGAGCCTAGGTGGTATTTTTTCCTTTCAAATGTATTGCTCAAGTTGAGATGATGCTTCACTGAACTAAAGCATAAAATTGTAATTTCTAGATTCTCATGCAATAATAGTATATCAGCATGATGCTGTAACTTACGAAATATAAATAGAGTTGTACTCACAAAAATATTGTTCTATAGTAGAGGATATGAATTAAATACCTGTATCTAATCAATGTTGTTATGGTTATGAATCAAGTGCATTGGAATAAGGTATTTTGATGGACTTGATCTTGATTATTGAATTCAGTATGACTTTGACAACTTCAATAAGCTGATTCTTCTAATTTGGTCGACTAACACTGAACAAAATCCAGTGAACCAATTTTACCTGACCTGAACCCAGTTTAGGTGATATTTGGATATACGTCTATCAGTTTAATAATTTTCCTAAACTCTGGACAATTTTATTCTTTGTTTAGTGCTCCATTAGCTCCTGCAAAATAAAACAATGTTATAGATTTGGGGATTCAATACATCTTCCCTTATTCTGCATCTCGTCCAAATGAAATGGTCTTGTGGGTGCCCCTCATGGCTGGTCAACCCCTTTTTCCTCAACTCATTGTCTTGCTCTTCTTATTTAGAGCTTGATTAGCTTAGCCCACCCCTAATTTCTCTTTCCATTTGATTTATAATTTGTTTGGGTGGCTGGCGACCCACCACTCTTCTTGTGCAGATGCTGTTTCATTTAAAAAACTTGCGGTTTGGCACATTAGAGGTAAGAGGGGTGGAAAGGATGTATAGGTGATGGAATCAAGGTGGTTGAAATTGCATTAAAGCATAAATAGTGCATGACTATAATGTAAAATTTTGAAAAACACCCTAGTATTGTTTGTTAAAATATCTGGTAAAGCCATGCTACTTTAGTTAACAACAACCATTTTTGAAAATATTAAAAAAAAACTATTGTCAGAGAAAAAAAAATGAACCAAGCGTAAAAATTCAAAAAATTTTGGTGCTAATTGCAATTGGTGCAACACAACATTACCAAACTATGAATTGCCCTTAAAATGTAAATGGAGATTTAGTCTATTAGTTTTTAAACTAATGCCTGTTTCTGGAACTGAAGTCATTATAAACCAAAGCCTCAGACTAGTTGGAACTACAAATTTGAATAGAAAAACAAACGGTGAATGAGAAATATATTTTTGGATAACTTTGTGCACCGTAGGAAAAAACTGGAAATAATGCACTTTACTTCAATTGAAACTGGAGGAGATTGTACAGTTTTTTATCTCCATCAGGTTTTAACAACATTTGTTTCTCTCCGTGATGTTCAAGCAGAGGGTTTCTGCTAATTAATTTTAAAATTTATTTCTGTAAGTTGAAATTTAGAGGTCATGAAATATCCTACTTTTTGAAGACTTCTCTTATTCTGACACTCTCTTATAGATCTGTTTTGAGCTGTATCATGTACACGCTGTGCAGGATTGTGGGAACTCTTGCTAGATTTATTTCTTCTAAATTTATGTGCAACAATACAACTCTATGAAATCAGTTTTTATGTTTTGACCCTTGAAAATGATGAGATAACTTCATTGTCATGTTAAACATCAATAGCCCTAGTCCGAGTATTAAGGGTTGGCTCTTATTTCATTAATAATGTTGACATAAATCCTTGAAATTTTATATTTTGTTTAGTGATTTCGTGACATTCTTGTTGAAACTTTTCTCTGATTAGGGACATAAAGTAGATTAGATGTAACACATGCAAGGACATAAATTTTGTTTTATATATGTTGTTGCAGAATTTCTAAATTATTAATTCCTTTCGGTCTGGTGCTTCAGTTTTGCTTTGTCTATGCCAAAAGCTCAAGCAGTTGCACAAGAAACATTAGCTGTATGGTGTTCTCTTGCTTCTAGACTTGGTTTGTGGGCTTTAAAAGCAGAAATGGAAGATTTGTGCTTTGCTGTCCTCCAGGTCTGTTTATTTGACTTTCATTGTTGTGCTGCTTTTTCCTTTTGGATGGAAATCGCCACAAATAAATTCATGTGAAAAGGCACTCTGCTTGCTACAACTAGAAATTATGTAGCCTTAAATGCACAAGGTTACACAAATTAACCACCAAACTATGCCGCTTAACCCAAGTACATTCTACATCTGATTTTATAATCTTGTATTTTGTCCATAGTGGAGGCTCTTTTCTATATTAGAAAACACATTTCTTGAGGTTTCCTTTCATTGGATGCCATATTTGAAAAGAAATCCATAAATTTTCCCTTGAGGATATTATTATGGAGCAACAGAATGATGAAACAAGTACTATTTAATCAATTAGTGATGCTATTTAAGTTCACTTTATTGACTTATTTATTTGTATTAGCTATAATCATTGTTGTTCTTTCATCAATAGTGTGTTACAGCTCATCGCCTTTTGAAGTTAAGATTGATGGAAATTCATTAAAGTTTGAACTTTTCAGTTACCCAGTTACGTTTTTGCAGCCTCACATGTTTCGGAAAATGCGGGCTGAACTTGCTTACATGTGGAACCCCAGCAACAGGGCAAAAAATTTGAGGCGTTTGTCTAATAGAGCTGGATTTCAAGAAACAGAAGAAGATAGTCATGGCATAAGTAGCCTTGATTTACCTCTTTCGACCTACGACAATATCGATGACTTGAAGGTGTGTGCTGCTAATAAATATTTATTACTTTATTTGCCTTTATGGCTGTATATCCACTCTAATTTATGATGGTGCTTACTGTATGCTCTAACATAGTCTTTATAATACCAATTGGGAGAAGACTTGCTAAAAATCAGCAACCTGTAAAAGTTACCTTAAAGCTTTTGCTATGCGGAATTGTGCAATCAAAATCCCGCACACAAGCGAAATTACAAAAAATGGAGCAATGAACAAACCATAGCTCAATATGAAATATCTTGATTTAGGATAAGATCATAGATATTATTGGAAATTATATTCCCATGTAACCTGCATGAAAATGTGGGAATCCTAATCCCATCCCATTTTGGCAATTTACAGCATTTGTGGCTTTCTAGCTTGCTCTGCTAACCTTGCAAGCACCTCCTTTGCTAAATATAATACTTGCCAGACATGCGATCAACCATGTTGGCAACCCTTCACCCTCCTACCATCATTAAGTAGTTTACCAAACATTTTTCCTTATATGGAATGAATTTGCTTAAATACTAAATTGATTGTTATTAGTTGTGCTAATCATTTTTCTATTTTTTTTCCTTTTCCTATAAACATTATATCTATTCTACTCATTGGAATAAGAAAATATGTAGTATTCTTCTCTTCTATTATTTATTATGATATTAGAGATATACTTCTATCTTTTATCATTCTCTATTCTCTATTCTATATCTTCAGTACTTTTCTGTCTCTTGCATCGTCCACGAATTCTACCTTTCCTCTTCCCACCTTTTAGAAGTTTTTTTTTTGATACCATGATCATGATTAAACAAAGGTTCTGCCTGCTGCCATGAATCAAGATCATATGGCAACATTGGTATCCAAAAAAATCTTCTTGAAGTCAAATCTTATGCACCAAAAATCATCATCAATGCAATTGCTTAGAAGGTATGCTCTTGAATGCCTTTAATTTATAAAATGAAGAATCACAATCTTGGATTGTGGACTCCGGAGCCCTTATCCAAATGCCCCTTCATCTGTGTTAAAATATTATACAATCAAAATTACTGATGAGCCAACATTATAAGAGATTGGCATTAGGACTATCAATGTCACTAGGTCTCCGGCTCTTAATTTATTCTCTTAGTTCCTAAGATTTTCTGCAAATAATTGTCAATCATTAAAATTATTAAAGATATGAAATGCACGAACAACTTTCTTTCTAGTCATTTTGAATTCTAGGATAGGGACTCAAGAAAGCTGATCAATAAGTCCAAGGAAAATGCTTGCCGCTATTTTCTAAATTTTGAATGCAATCCTAAAAAGTAAAAGAAAAAATGCTCTATTTGTATCTCTCTAACAAAATACATTCTCTTTGATTATCCAACAATTTGTTTTCCCTCTCTTTTTATCAACACAAATCCGAATTTCAATATGAAAATTTTTAATTGTCTAAACACACACAAACTTGCTAACTCAATCATTCTTATAAAGCCCTTAACTTTTTTCAACTATTCATAATAACATTTAGGACCCATATCGATGGATTGATATCTCACATGTTAGGTGGTTTTTATCTTTTAATGATGATCACACTAGAAACTCCTAGATCTTTCTAATGAAAAGAAAGTCTGAAATCAACTTAAATTTTTTTTCAAAATTCCACTCCTTTATAAAGATCCTATTCAAAACTCAAGTTCAAGTCCTTAGGACCAGTGATGGGAGATAATATTTTCATTCACCAAGCTTTTTGCATCTGCACTCAACAAAATTGGACAGCTACATATCTCATTAATGATCATTAGTAATAATCCAAAATATTATTGGGGTGGCTTTCCTTACTACTACTTATCTCATTAGTCATATGCCATAAACAAAGCTAACATTCAAGACTCACTCAAATGTGGATCCTCTCCACCTTTCCTATCGAAATTCTGTTGTTCTGCTTTTGTGCATATTCCTCTTCATCAAAGAAATAAACTAACCCCAAAAGCCATAATTTATATTTTCATTTGCTACTCTCCTAACAATAAAATTCTAAACATTATTATACTAATGCAAAAAAGATATTACACCACCATAGATATAAAAGATGACATACAACAAACAAAATTCAAAGTGAATGTCTTTTCTTGATGTCAAAAAAATTCAGCTGATAAGGTAGAGTAAAGCATTTCTTTGGAACCAAATCCAATGTCTGAATCTAGTTCTAACGCTACTTTATGGGGATAAGGATCTAAATATTTTTATCATTGTTCTCAAGAAAAATATAAAAACTTACTCCAAATACTGTATCAACCATTATATTTTTTATTTTGACAAATTTTCTCCTAATTTCTATGCATTTATTTTAAAATTTTCACGCATGAAAATTCCAAACATTATTGAAGAAGCTGTCATGAATGGAGAAATATGGTTTTTGAAGAAATTCAAACACTTGAAAGAAATGTTACATAGAATGTTTCAAGTCTTTCCAAAGTGAATCAAGCTGTTGGATGTAAATGAATCTTTAATATAAAATACAAAATAGATAGAAGTGTTAACCAACCTAAATTAAGACTTATGACAAGAAAATTTCCCGCTAGGTTGCTAAGATGAATATTAATAGAGTATTTTTTTCCTTGTTGTAAATTTTGATTGGTCACTCGGTCAATTAGATGTAAAAAATGTCTTCTTCATTTGGGATTTAGAAGCTGGAGTCTATATGAAATTATCTCCTGGATTTGAGAGTAAAAGCTTATGATCCATGTCTGCAGACTCGAGAAATTCTTATATAATTTAAAAAATCATGAAGAGCCGGGTTCGACATATTCACTGTAGTGACCAAAAGACATGACTACTTTGAAGGGCAATCTGACCTTTATTTACCAAGAAATTATTTGAAGATAAATTTTTTATGCTAAATATATACTTTGGTGACATGATCTTGATGGGTATCATAATAAATAAGCTAAAATGTGACTTTCTAAAGAATTTGAAATCATGAATCTTGGCTTATTAAAATATTATCTTGGCATGAAAGTAGCAAGATCATACAAAGGATTATATATTTTGAAATAAAATACACCTTGAATTTACTGAAGGAAATTAGTATGTGATGTGAAACGTACAGGCAAGGATGATTAAATTAAGCAAGTTTGCACGCTTAAATTTTAGAGCATAATAATTATAAGCTTAGTCTTGATGATAGACGACAAAATAGAAATAATAAGGTGATAACCTAGCTTAGGTCTAAGCACATGCGAGAGGTTGAGATCATTAATTAATCAAATAAATCTTACGTTGCATACATGGATGGTTTTCAACAAGATATCCCTAGATTAACAATAAGATAAGTTACTATGCAAGGATCCCTCACTAAACTCTCTAACTTACTAGGCTTTAGCGGATGAACATTAACAAGCTTCTTATGAATCGATTAAGCCACATAGTAGGATAACTAGGAAGATAAGAGATTGGGGAAATAATTTACCATTATCAGACCTTAGGCGGTAGTCGAAAGCTTCAAATCAACACCCTCCTTAGTCTTCGAAGTTAGAACAACAATCTGACCTTCCTGGGTCAGCAATTCTGTATGGTATAAGGGCAGGATTCTCAGGGAAAGAGGCTCAGCAACTAGAGAGGTGTAAACAGCAGCACGTGAAGTCTTGAGCAGCAGTTTGGCACTTGTGAGGCGCCAGATAGCGGCCTGAACAACTTTCAGAAGGCTCCACCAGCAGCTTACTAAATCGGAGTGGTCTGGGACAACAAAATAAGCCTCTGGGAAATGCCAGACAGCAAGGGAAACCTGCTGTATTTCTTGGACAGCAGCGGATACACTGGGACAGCACTTAGAAGTTCACGAGAGGAGGAAAACTGAGAGGTGATGGGCTTGGAGGTGGCGGCTAGGGCTGAGGAGATTAAGGGATTGATTGAGGAGTTGTAACGGAAGGCAATTAATGGGTGTTAATTAATTTTGGGAGAGAAAAGTTTCCTTCCAAATCTGAAAATAATTGCAGATTTTGAATAAAAGGAGGGAACTAATTTGAAATTTGAATTCAAATTAATTAGAGATAGGGAGCTTTAAATGGGAATTAATGGGGAGCTCTATTGGGGGAGGCCGGCGGTTTCAAGAGAGGGAAATGGGAGTTTCATTTCATAATCTGAAATTAATTTCAGATTATGAATGAAATTAAGGGGGTTATTTTGAAATTTGAATTTTGGATCAAGGCATTGATGGCATTAAACTAGCATTAAATGGATTCCCCCTTGATGAGGCCGGCGGCATGTAGAGAGGAGAGGAGGGAGATTAGTGTGAATAAATCAATTTCCGATTAGGAGGATGCCACCTAGGATGAGAATTAGTAACTCCTCATGCCATGAAATTTGAATTGGATTCAACCCAATTCTTTCCTTATTTGGACTTTGGCAATTATGGAAA